ACATCAAGTACTTCGGATTTGTGAACCAAGAATCGATATGCACTACTATTGATAGCATATCCAATAAAGACACAATCAATTGTCTTTGGTCCAATCCTAACTTGTTTAGGTTTGGGTATTTGTACTTTCGCTAAGCACCCCCACACTTTGAGATATTTGTAGGAAGGTTTCCGACCTTTCCATAATTCGTAAGGTGATTCAACCTTATCTTTGTGTGGTATTTTATTAAGGATATGATTTGCAGAAAGTATGGCTTCCCCCCACAAGTTTTGAAGTAAGCCCGAACTAATCAACATTGCATTCATTATTTCCTTTAACGTTCGATTTTTACGTTCAGCAATTCCATTAGATTGTGGTGAATATGGTGCCGTTGTTTGATGAATTATTCCAGATTCTGCACAAAATTCTTCGAACGGTGCAACATATTCTCCACCTCTATCACTACGAATCATTTTAATTCGTTTTTCAAGTTGATTTTCAACTTCATTTTTGTAGTGTTTAAACACTTCCAAAGCTTCATCTTTGCTTTTCAACAAGTACACATAACAGTACCTTGTACAATCATCTATGAATGTGATGAAGTACTTTTTACCACCCCTTGTTTGTACGAACTTCAAATCACACACATCCGTGTGAATTAGTTCTAATGGTGTGGTGTTTCGTTCAACCGAATGAAATGGTGTTTTGGCCGCTTTTGCCTCTACACATGTTTCGCATTTTCCATTATTAAAATGCATATTCGGAAGTAAACTTAAATTCATTAACTTTCATATTGAATTAAAGTTTGCATGTCCTAATCTATGATGCCATAGATTACATGACTCAAGAATATAAACTGAAGATTACCTTTTATTGATTGTAGCATTTGGCACAACAGTTAGGACATTCATTTTGAATAGTCCATCTTTTACATAGCCTTTGCCTACATACATATCATTTTTGGTAAGTACAAACTTATCCGATACAAAGACTAGTTTAAAGCCATTCTTGCTTAACAAAGAACCCGACACAAGGTTCTTGCGAATATCCGGTACGTGAAGGACATTATTGAGGCTAAGTTCTTTTCCCGACGTCATCTTCAAGACCACTTTGCCTTGTCCTTCCACTTTGGATGTTGAGGAGTTCCCCATAAACAATTTTTCTCCCTCAGTTGGAGTGTATGATGTGAACATTCCTCTATCGGCACAAATGTGACGGGTTGCACCCGTATCAACCCACCATTCCATGGGATTTCCAACAAGGTTGCATTCAGAAACAACTGCCGATAAATTCATATCGGACATGCCATTTGATATGGCATCAGATTCGACAATGTTAGCTTGGGATTGCTTCTTAGGTTTGCGACAATCAACCGAGCGATGTCCAGCCTTTCCACAATTGTAGCAATTGCCCTTGAACTTCTTTGCATTCTTCTTTGTAGATTCAACAGAATGCTTTCTCTTCTTTCCTTTGTTGTTGCAAGATTCTACCACATTTGCCTTTGCTTGTGGTATGCTATCCCCAACTCGTTTTTCCGAACTTCGGTTGTCTTCTTCAATCCTCAATCGGACCACAAGTTCTTCAATGTTCATCTCCTTACGCTTGTGCTTGAGATAGTTTTTGAAGTCCCTCCACATGGGTGGAAGTTTCTCGATAATTGCAGCCACTTGAAATGATTCGCTCACGGACATATTTTCCGCATGAATGTCATGGAGTATGACTTGCAATTCTTGCACTTGACCGATGACGGTCTTCGAATCTACCATTTTGTAGTCCAAGAATTTTTCCACAATGAACTTCTTGGTTCCGGCATCTTCGTTCTTGTACTTCTTTTCCAAGGACTCCCATAGTTCCTTTGCAGATTTCTTGTAGCAATATACACCGTATAAAGTGTTGTCCAAGCCATTAAGAATGTAATTCTTGCATAAGAAGTCCGAATGTTTCCATGCATCCAAAGCAATCAAAGATGTCCTATTGTTTCCCCTTCTTGTATGGCGGGAGGATCTTCATTCAAAAATTTCACCAAGTTGAGGGTTGTGAGATAAAACAACATTTTCTGTTGCCACCTTTTGAAATCAACCCCAACAAATTTATCCGGCTTTTCCCCATGTGAAACGGAGTTTGAATGTACGATAGTAGGGGCACCCACAACCGGAGGAATCACATTAGTAGTAGTTGTATTCACAACGGGAGGAATCACACCGGTAGGAACACTTCCTTCAGAAGTTCCCATGTTCGAAGTTTCATTCGAAATAGTATCGGTATTAAGAACCGTATTCATTTCTGTTTACGTAAAACAGAAGATTAACCAAAATTAGAAGTGAAGAAGAAGTTAAACTTAACAAGTTTAACCAAACAAGAATGTCTCTTTCACAAAATTTATAAAAATTCGACTTAAGATTGTTGGATGAATTTTGTGAATAGTGACGCCAAAATAAGTATAATGATGGTTTGTAAATCCGTGCCGAAAATTGGACAGAGTAACGGCAAAGAAAACACAAACAAGAAGAAGAAGAAAGTAGGGACAAAGCCGAGGCAAGAGTTGGACTCTTTGTCCTTAAGTCGAATTTGCCCCGCAACGGTGCCTACGGATTTCGACAATCGACTCCCAAGATACAACGGCTACACTTGTGTTTGTAGCACACCCAAAGGGTCCTATTTATAGACAATGAAAGGGTGTGGACGAAATGGTTGAGGCCAAACCATGCACCTTTTCCAAACAATGCACCTTTATGAAAATGTGTCTATTCACTAATGGTTGAGGCCAAACCATGCACCATTTCCAAACAATGCACCTTTATGAAAAGGTGTCTATTCACTGATTTTCGTCCTTTTTCATAATTTCTCATTCATCCGATATTGGTTTTCGAAGAAGTCGATACGAAGTCACTTTAATCGATTTTCAATTCTCGATTTATTTAACCAATATCCAACAATTAGTAGATTTCCCTTTTTAGATCCAGAATTTTGATCAGCTTTTGGTAACTTGTTGAGCTATGCAAGTCAAATTTATTTTAATTTTATTTCGTGTGTCTGATAAACGATCTTTCATGAAGTATGTACGTGTTTATGCATCAACGCCTGCATTATAATCCTTTTAGAAATGAAAGGAAAGAAAAGAAATTTTATATATGACAGTTAGGTTCATGTGATAGTGTACTTAAAATTGTATTTGTTGATATTTCTGAATTGGATTGGTCTGGTGTGAAAAGAAAAGAATATAATTATGAATTTAATCGTGTTTTCAGCTAGCTGACGCCCTACGGAGCAGTCTATTCAATTACATTGTTTGTCCATTTTTTCATGTTTGCAGGATCAATTTTAGCAACCACTGCCTTGTTCATCAATCTAACTGAGTAATGGATGCTGGAAAATCATTAGAGCTTTGTGTGCCAGATTACATAGTTGAGCCATTGATAGTTGCGTCTAACTCTTCTACTTTAGATAAGGCGCTAGTGCATCTCGTTGAAATCTCCAAAACTCCTGATGGTCGGTCAGTCCTCGCTTCCAAGAAAGTCATGATGCCAATCCTTAATGTATGTCAATCCCTATGTTACCCTCCTTCTCGTCACTTTCTCCTGTTGTCCCTAAAGCTGCTCAGAAACCTGTGTGCAAGAGATTTAGATAATCATAACTTATTTATTGAACAAACTGGTGTTAAGAGTTGTTTCAAGTATCATTAATTCTTTAGTGCTGACTTCTGGTTCTGACAATGAGATTAATCGTATAAGCATGCAACTTTTGGGAAACGTCTCATTGGCTGGGGAAGAAAATCAGTATGCTGTTTGGCACCATTTCTTCCCGCTTGAGTTTTTCAAAATTGCTGAAGTTTGAAGCAAAGAAACATGTGATCCTTTGTGCATGGTTATCTATACATGTTGTAAAGGTAATGATGAACGATTGGTTGAACTGCTCAAGGATCAGGGGTTACACGTGGTGGAAATTATACGGACAGCAGCAGTAGGTATGGATTGTTAATATAACATGTACATTTCTGCAGTATCATGCAACTGCATAATACAAAATATGTTTGAAACAAACTCTTAATGACTAATATGTTTTTGGACTTAGCAGCCGGATTTAAGGAAGAGCGGCTGAAGTTGCTTCTTTCAAGAATTTGCCTGGACAAGTCTTACATTTCACCAGTTTTCTCTAAATTATCCCCGGTTAGTACAGCTGAGAACCATGACGATGATATGTCTAGAGTTAACCACTTTGGAGGCGAGCATGCATTTTTGTTGAGTATTCTATCAGAAATCTTGAACGAGCGAATCATGGATGTTGCTGTGTCCAGTGATTTTTCTTTGTCTATTCTTGGAATATTGAGAAATGTGGTTGGGATTGTTGATTTTGTTGAAACACCAAAATCAGGTCTTCCTACAGGCTTAGCTGATGTTGATGTTCTAGGATACTCCCTAACCATTTTCAGAGGCATCAGTGCCTGTGGCGGTGGTATAGAGTCCAAAGAGGATGTCTCTGGGGGTATTGCCGAGATTCTAGTATCCTCTGGGCTCATTGAATTGCTTCTGAGCTTTCTTCGTGACCTAGGGCCTCCATTAATAATTAGAAAAACAATGAGAAAAAGCGAGAACCAAGAAGTGAAAACGCCTAGCTCGTCCAAGCATTGACCGTATAAAGGTTTTAGGAGAGATGCAGCCATTATTGGAAATTGTGGTTGTCGCAGGAAGCATGTTCAGAGTAAAATTAGAGAGCAGGATGGGATCCTTTTGTTACTACAACAGTGTGTCACACTGTCACTGATGAAGATAATCCATTTTTTAGGGAGTGGGGAATCTGGGCAGTGAGAAATATATTAGAAGGGAATATAGAAAACCAAGAAGTAATTGCCAATTTGGAGCTTCAAGGATCTGTAGATGTGCCTGAAATTGCTCAACTAGGTCTTCCAGTACAGGTGGGTCCTTTAAACTCGGCGTGCAAAGCTTGTAAATGTGTGATGAAGAACTGAACATTATCTTTTGAATGATTATATGTATGGTTACCGTTACCCTTTCAAACTTCAGAATACCAGCCAAATTTGAAATTTAAGGATATGCTATATTCAAGAACTTACCGTTATAAGGAACGCTAGACAATGTAAGCACCAAAAGCACAATCAGAAGATCAGTACATCCAAGCAGTTATTCACTGCAGATTTCAGAGTACATCAGCTCAACGACATATTTCTTGTCCAGGAGAAGCAAAAAAGAATTCAAAGATAGTGTCTGCAGTACTAGTCGAACGGTCAAAATAATTGCTAAACAACAATTCTTGCACAGAACCGTAGAGCGGAAGGACTTTGCTTCATTCATCTGCCAATGTGTCATCCTCAGGAGACGATGGATCTACACTGGGGGCAGCAGGTGCCAGGTGGTGATGTTGCTGCTGGATTATTATCAGTTATCCAAAATGGAGGAATTCTTTTATCGTCATCCTTCATTCTCTTAGCATACTTGTTGATGCAAAAACCTGCATCATCTTTTCCAACAAATGCAGACTCCACCACTTCCATGTCAAACAAATCATCCGTGACACTTCGTACTAGGTATGTCCGAGGAAACAAATTTGACTTTGGCAACAGTTTTAGGCTCTAGGAAAGGTTTCACAACCTGAAATGCAAAGGTGAGAGTTACTTTAAAAAAATAGTAACCCCGAAAAAGTAAGTTATCTAAACATGATTGTTGAAGCAAACCATTATAACAGAGTTCTAAATGAAAGATAATGTGATGAGATGAATGAACATTTCCTAGTAAACTAAGAAAAATAAGAAATAAGGGAAAATGCCGTCCAAAATGGTTCGAATATCTTTGGTGGATCAAATAGAATTGCGAGTCCCAGTCTCCCGGAAGGATATGAGCTGTTTCCCTTGTCACTTTTATTGACATGTGGGATAAATTGAAGCCATGTAAATCAATCAACCAGACCAGCTGCTCTTGGTCTTCAGGGAGATCTAGAATTGCATTCTCCATGCAATAACAAATACTTAATCTGTCCTGATGATTTTGTGTTCTGCACTGATATAAAACTAGAAAACGCTGAGTAAAAATCTAGGACAAAGTGCATCTTTGCTAAAAGCTCAAAGTTACAATTAAACAAGATAATAATTTATTTTTTTTTTTTGGTCAAAGTTGGAAATAAGTAAGCTATGTTTAAGAAAAGGAGGAATTATCATATTTGACCTGACATCTAGGCCTCATGAACAAAACAGGCCTCCCGTGCTTATCTTTATGGAAAGATGTTACATGTGCTAATACTTTTGTACAAACTTTGTTACTTACACTCACAATGGGAAGGTGGGGTCTACATGTCGGAATTATTTAATCCATGTGGGGATCGCATGTATGTGAGAGTGAGTAGAAGCTTTTGTCAACCAAAGTTTGTACAAATATCTCAATCCATTTTTATAACTCGCCCTGTATATTTTCCAGTTTCTGCCTCCATCACAACATCTCCCTTCATCACAAATTAAGAAACGCTAACGGAGTATATATTTTGAGTCTTTCACAACCATGATTCCATGAACGCTCAAAAGCTTGAAAAATCTACCGGCAAACGCACAAGAGAACAGAGAACTCCAGACGTGGATGCTAACAATGCATGGTCATTATCCAGCGAATTTCTTCAGGTTTGTATTCCTTTCGCCACTTTAGGGTCGCTTTAAGCATTTTAACAGCCTTATTAACGTTCCAGTTTCGTGCCCTTAACTATCTTGAAATCGATGCATCGGAATAAAAGGGCTAATTTACGAAATTGTGGCCCTATTAAACTTCTCAGTTCTCACCTCGTTAATCTGAAAATATGGGAAAGTATATAAGCATGAAATAATAGGTTTTTCAACAACGGTTTTAGGACTGAAATACCTTTCCCTGCTTCAATTCTGGAGCCAAAGAACCGTCGCAGCAATTTGGAGCTGTTTTATTTAACTCAGAGCTCATTATTCTCAATGCTTCGGTAGGAACTATTCTCCCAAGTAATTAAGGGGGTGTATTCAATTGGAACTTTTAAAAACTTTGATAGGCTTTTTTTAAGCGATGAGTTTCGTGGATTTCGTGGATCTTTTATAGATTTGTATGGAATTAGTGGAAGTCTTTCGTAGACTTCCATGCACTTTCATTTTAAAATTTTTATAGACTTTTGTAGAATTCAAAAGATTTTTGAAGACTTTTATTTGAAATAGAATTCACGTGAATTTAGTACAATTGCGTGAAATTCTCACATACGAAATGTTGGTTCCCACAATTTCCCATCCTTCCCTTTCTTCTTCTCATATAATAAAAACATTTGAAAAAATGAAAATTTAAGACCTTAATTAAATAAATAATAAAAAAATTATACATATAGATGATTCAATATGGAAGAAGAGTAAGATAAGTGATGTAGGTTGTGATGACAAAGAAAGAGATGGAAGAAAACATGAAAAGAGTTTTAAAAAAAAAAAAAATTTAAAAAAAATTCGAGAGAATATATAAGAAATTGGGAGAGAAAAGTAGTAATTTATTTTGTAATCAACATTTAAGTATTAGCATAAAAAGTAATGCTATTTAAGTGTTAATCATTAATTTGAGTGACAACTGCATAATATTTAATAATTAATTAAATAAAATTCAATATTACATGATTTATTTAATGTAACACATCAAGTGTGTTTTACCTAAACTGGCATTCTAGCACAATCGGTGCTAGATAATATTATTCTAGCATAAATAGGTCATCCTTATATGGAGTATAAACAAACCTAATTTTAAGAACGAAACAATCACCTAATTCTAGCCAAGTCAGAAAATTATAATACATTAATCTAATAAAAAGCATAATTTAGATAAAATTCAACCTAAATTTTCTATCTAAATTCTATTCATTCCCTCTTTTTAGAAAAGAATGGTGAAGGAGGCCTGCACTATTGGAATTTAGTCCAGGGCTCATTGCCTACGAAAATGTAAGACTAAACTCTATCTACAAGAAATATCACTCAATATTGTAGGAATCTCAATTTGTCATTTCCTTCAATTGTTTTCCTGGTGATATAAATTGAACTGGTATCATAAACATAAAGTACTAAATCTTACTAAAATGCAAAAATCGTTCCGACGCCTCTGCCATGATGAAAACTATAAAATCTAAATGTTAGAATTAATCTTCTTGTAATCTGTTGAATTAACATAACTAAGTCATGAATTTGTTTATTATGTTCTTTTTTCTGTCTATGTACATGGAAAAACACCTTCAACATATGTAATTCGAATATACAACACAATGCAAAAAATTCACTTTAAGAGGACTCAACAAGAATACACCAACTCTTAGCTTCAAGTATTCAAAATTTGAAGTTTTGCATAATTTTACACCAATTTTGCATCAAATTAAAATTCATCTTCAACCATTACATCAAAACTTACACCAAAATCTCGCCTAGACAGGATCTAATTATAATAACGATGATGATAATAATAATAATAATAATTTATTGTATTAAAAAATATATAACACAAATACCCTTCATCAATCTGTTTGGCAAAAAAAAAAAAAAAAGGAAAGATTAAAAATTTTGATATAACAAAATGGTTCAAACTTTGGTGCTATCTTGGAGGCTTTTTGTACCAAAATTTGGGGCATTTTGGTGTCTCGGCATCTCCTTTTGAGATGTCCTAGGCATCATTTCAGACAATTTAATTGACTGTAATATAAAACTATATTGTTTTATATTGTAACTTGAGTGTTAATGGTGCACACCAAGTGGGAAATTCTGCAAGGTTAGGTAATAAAATTGTTTGGTCTTGACTCGGCCAATGAGTAACAATCTAAATAGAATATAATTTATATGCATTATATATCATTTTACAACATTAAGAAACCTTATAATAGACAAGATTATGCCACATATAAGCATCACGAGTGGGCCTCTTCTACCTTCCATCGAATGAATACTCAATCCCCTCTCATGTAAGTATTATGTCCTAGGTCCAATTAACTTTGGACATAAATATTTTTATATATAATTAATGCAATTAAATGGCAGATTTATTATTTAATTAATAGACGATTAAATAAATAATAGAGTCCGTAGATTCAAATATTTGTAATTTGTTAATCACAAGGAGTTGTGATTGTGATATACAAATAATATCTGATTGAATCTTAAATCATCCGTGGTCGTAAGTAATAACGAGATACGGATATCGTTATTACAGATAGACCATCACATATGGCATTTCTTACTTGTGAAGTAAGTAGCTGATCTCACAAACTAAAGTGTGGTGACACTTAAATGAACACGTGGATATTTTTGTTATAGAACAAAACATTGGAGACCCATCGAGAGATTCCACATGGATAACTATCTGAGTGTCAGTGGTTAATCTCTAACGTTCGGTAATGGAATTGGTTCTTTGACTTGAGGTCGTCATATTATCTTATATGAGGACAGTCATACTTTTGCGTTGTTGGATGTTGCTCTGAAAAGGGCCGCTAATACGATATCGTTCGGGTACGTCAAGAATCGTATGAAGGTTGTGATTGATCAATAAAGGATTCGTCACTCTTAGATAGTAGAAGATTATGATCTGCGTTTCATTCAATTATACCACGTGACATTTCCCGTCATATGTATTGCTCTGACACATTGTTAGATGTCAATCAGGGACGGCGAATGTGAATTGACGATAAATTAAAAGGGTGTTTTAATTTATCAATTTTGATTAGATCAAAATAATATTTCACGTCGTTAGGTATCGTGATTGGGAACCTAATGGGTCACACGCAAAAGAGAATTGGAAGATTGCAAATTGTCAATTGGTTAATTTAACAATCGTTAGATAAATTAATTAATTGAATTTATTATTTATATTTTCGAATTGATTAATTGGATTAATTAATTCACGGACCGGGTTTAATTAATTGGATTAATTAATTATTAGACCGGACCGGGCCGAGCCTGTATGGGTTTATATAAATACATAACTAGGGTTTGAGGTCCAAAAGGTTTTCATTATCCTTTCTGGCACAAGAAAAAACCCTAGATGCTTCAATCATATTTTCTATGTGGATCACCGTTGGAGGCTGGACAATTGGATAGCTGTAGTGGCGAATCAAGGTTGATGGCACACAAAAGAAAAGCAAAAAGATTGCAGATCTGGAAAAGGTACAATCTTATCACAATTTCTATCTAAACACAAAGGCGATTCTTCGTGGGAATCGGAAATTATTTTAAATTCCACTGTACATGTATAGGTAGATTCCCAACATCTCATTCAAATGTAAGTTGTGAACAAAAGGTTAAAATTCATATAGGGTAATCTCTAATTCGACACTCATTTTTCGTTTATTGTGTTGCTCACACATTCAATATATTTCATTATGTGTCTAGAGCGTGAGAATGTAGACAATTGTTGCACCTCGTTGGAGCAACAATCTATGCATTCTAATGGGGTTGTTAAGTCACAACATCCATGGGTGTCCATTATCAACCAATTCAACTAAAGCAAAGTTTGTTTCGCTGTAATTACTAACTACACAAAATCCAATAAAAGCAAACCGGTGCAAATATAGGCAATTGGCAAATAGTGTGTTACTAAACTAAACAGAAAAACTATAAAAGATATAATAAATAAAGAAATTCAAGATTATGGAAGATGCTTAACTTTTTACACACAAAAAAAAAATAAAAAATCCAACCCTGCTTTTTGAGTTTCATGGGTCAAGAATAAGAATAAGAATAAGAATCAAATCTTTTTAGGGATCTGTACCGTTGATGAAGCGAAAGAATGGAAAATTATGATCAACCAAGAAAATGGTGCGCTTGGATTAAGGAGAGGGAAGAGGATAGCCTGCATTGTTTTTGATGGATTTATTGATTACAATACAAAATTATATGGTTTTTATATTGTAGCTGAGTGTTAATGACGCATACCCGTGCGGAAAATTCTTAAGACTTTGGTTTAGACAAAAATCAAACTTTTAGTAGATTTCGATTGAAAAGTTATGGGTATTATATGTTATTGAAAATGAGTTTGATAAAAAAAAATAAGGATCAAATAGTGGCTAAAATTGTTCTATCTTGACTCGACCCATGAAAAGGCTGGTCTAAATAAAATACAATTTACAATTTAAATATAATATGCTAAATACAAAAGTCATATAGACATTTAAAAACGATGAAATAGTTACTCATATTATATAAAGCATTATCTCTACCTTTTCAATTCGTTTTTTTTTTTTAATAAAAAATTTAAAGTTGCTTTTTCTTTTGTATTCAAATCGAACTCAATCTCATCATGTGCAATATAATTATTCCATATTCGGTAATATCTATTCTTCATCCCCTAATATTGTTCTCTAGAATAATTCAAGAAGTACTTCACATTCATCACATTTTCTGTTGACTATACGCTCTAAAGTAATAATTTTTTATCCCAAAAATTATTATTTTATAGAAAGAAAAGTATATTGCGTGAAATAAAGTTGCCTTTTTACTAATTAAAAATTAATACTAAATCTTGAACTTGAGTTCTATTTTTATTCAAATTTGTACAAGGATAATATAAATCTCATAGCCTAAATGGTTAATGAACTTTACAAAAGGACCATAAGTCGTCATCGAACTTTAAAAATCACGTTATTCATCATTAAATTTTGCATATCATTACCCATTAGTTACTAAGCTCATGATCCATCCAAAAATTGACAAAATGCCGAAGTGGTTACATATGTGACTGCATATGTGGCTTGATGTGTCGGTGAGTGCCAAGTCAAATAAGTGTTGCACACGGAATTTTTATATAATCAAAACACATTAAAAAAAAAAAAAAAAAAACACTCCATAAGTCGTCATCGAACTTTAAAAATCACGTTATTCATCATTAAATTTTGCATATCATTACCCATTAGTTACTAAGCTCATGGTCCATCCAAAAATTGACAAAATGCCGAAGTGGTTACATATGTGACTGCATATGTGGCTTGATGTGTCGGTGAGTGCCAAGTCAAATAAGTGTTGCGCACGGAATTTTTAGATAATCAAAACACATTTAAAAAAAAAAAAAAAAAAAAAAAAAAACAAAACCTGAAAGGAAATCAAACTCTCTCTCTCTCTCTCTCTCTCTCTCTTTTTAGAGAAAAAAATCCCCAATCTCCCTCTCCCTCTCCCACGCCCCCACGCAAACCCAAATCGAATCAACCCATTTGATTCAGATTCTTCTTCCAACCGGGCGCTCTCGCTCCCCTCCTCTGCCGTTTGATTCAGATTCTTCTTCCAACGGCAACGGTGGCGCTCTCGCTCCCCTCCTCTGCCGTTTGATTCAAATTTCGGGCGTTGATTCTTCCATTTTCGACTGAGATTTGGAGCTTTGACAACAACCCATTTTCACCGTGCACAAAAGATTATCAATTGCATCGATCTCTTTCGCAGCTCATCAACAAAAGATTAACAATTGCATCAAATCATTTTAACAGCAACCCATTTTTGTGTTTTCCAGTGAGAGTAAGGCTAAACAAAACTCCCGATCCAAATCGCATGGTTCTTCTTAAATTAAATACCCAAACGGGTATATGAATCGAGAACCAACGAACCCGTCGGTTCTCGATTCTAAACCGAAAAATCGAATAAAAATCGAATCTTCCTAATTTTCTTAAATTAACTTATTTTAAATAAGCAAAATTATTTTATTTTTTTTAAATAAATTTGCTAACTAATTAATTACTTAATTAAGTTCAAAGTCAAAAATACGATTTTTCTATTTCTAATTTTCAGTTCAAAATCACCTTAATTAAATTGACCTAAGTTTTATCCAAACATGTTACTCTATCGTCGTTTTTACCGTTCTAAAGAATTCGAATTGAAGCTCAATAACGCCTCTTTTAATTATTTTGGATTCGCTATCTTCCTCTTCATGTGATTTTAACATTAAATATATGAAAAACTTAACAAAAATAGAAGCAAAAGATTTATAAAATTGGATTACGTTATTTTGTAAGAGCATATTGAACATATCATTAGTTGAATTAATATAACTTTATAAATATTAAAATTTTTAATTATAATACGAAATTAAATGGAACTGAGCCTGAACTATTTTATAATTAAATTTGGATTCCGCAATTCTACTTATTAAATACCCGAAAATTTCGAGTCCGATTCGATTTGAATCGGACCATGTCCAGCGTTCATAAAATAAAAGTTTTTCGACCTCATCTTCCGCCAATGCAAAACCAAGAATAATAGCTCTTGATACATCTTGTTGATATGATTCCGTTCTATGGTGTCGAGGTAGTCCATAATCTCCAAAAACTATCCAATTCTTAAAGGATTTAGAATGGAATTCCACGAGAATATTCATATGCACCAGTCCTGGTTGTGTGTCTGTATCAGTAATCTATGGCCATACGCCAACTGGTCAACATACTCAAAAATTTAGTTAGAAGTCTCAACGGCGTTGAAGTTGAAGAAATTGTAGAGAGTAGATAAATGTAGTCAACATATAGGTTTGTGTAAGCAATTGGTGGTGTTGGGGTCGAAGGAGTGGTTTAGCCGGCGGTTTATGGTGATGCCGGTGATTCATCGTGGCAGTGTCGGTGGTGGTAACTGTGGTTGATTTTTAAGAGGGAGATCTGAGGATTTTCTTCTGTAAATATGAGAGAGCGGGTTGATTTCCTCTCAGATTTTTTTCTCCTTTTTTTTTTTTTAATTAAAAAAAATCACGTGTGCATTTGACATGGCACCCACCAACACATCAAGCCATGCATTGAGCCACATCCATGAGCTCAATGACTAACAAGATTATAAAATGCAAAATTTAACGATGAATGATGTAATTTTTAAAGTTCAAAGACCATTTAGGCTATTAACCTCAAATCATTCTCATTTATATACACTAGCAAACAAACAGTACATTCCAGAATATGGGAGACACGGGAAAACATCGGGACCATTTGTGAAGAAATTTTATTTTTCCATTTTATTTTATTTTTCCCCCCTTCCTAGGGGAAATAGGGATACCAGCCCGTGCCAACAAAGAAACTTGGCCATGGGAAGAATGATTAAGGTAAACATATTCAAACCCAAAATAAAAGAAATACACTGATTTTGCAAGAATATATATTGATTTTGCAGGAATATATATATACACCAGCCCGTGCCAACAAAGAAACTTGGCCATGGGAAGAATGATTAAGCTAAACATATTTAACACGAAATAAAAGAAAATACACTGATTTTGCAAAAATATATATTGATTTTGCAGGAATATATGTATCACAAAGCTAAGCACACAAGTTTTGAAGTTAAATTGGCGAATCAACTCGGACTAGCTACACCTCATTCCAACCAAAGAATTTGCTGAAAAACGGGGTACTAAAATGAAAATCCCGTTCTTATGATGGAGCTGTATTTTTTTCTCGAATAAAGAGAGGAATAGCAATTTTTTAAGTGCTACAACTACTAATGAAATTAAGTATGTTCTACCGAAATTATATACACAAAATCCTGTAATCACTGCCTTGCTTATGTACAAAATTTTGCCTAGTTTTGCTATATCGATCTAATTCAGATCTACCGCAAGAATCGAACCAGCCTTCCCAGAAATCAAATAGCAGCAATTCAGCCGAATTAGAATTGCAGTTAACGCACATCAAGAATATATGTCCACTGCCTAACTTTTTACACAGCGAGAGGCCCTCCTCTCAACAGTCCGAGACCTATGCCAGCTTCGTGCTTATACTTCCACAAGGAAGACGAGCCCATGCAGAAAATAGTGCCTAAATCATTGTACGACTTTGATTAATCAACTTTTAAGCAGTAACCACCTCAAAAAATCATAGGATGATCGATTATATCAGAGTTGAGACCGTAATTTGTTATAACAATGCAGTGTAACTGGTCACATTGAGTCTAAATCTAGCACGGGCAGTATTATTTAAGAAATTCTTACCTCTGTATCCCATGAGAGGTGAAAGCCTCTGATATGACGGGGCTCATCCAGAAACTAGCACTTCAAGAGGCACCCTTGAGAAAAGTTAGCTCTCGATCTTACAGCATTCAACACTGGATAAGCAAATTGGTTCCCAGAGTCTCATTAATTCTTTTCCCCGTATAAGGAAGCCTTATCCTCTTCGACATGCCAGATCATGAGATCAGAATTGGGAGAACAATTACTCACAATCCCACTGTAATAATCAGAAGGCTCCCACAAAGCAAAAGGCATTTTGCAGACATCATAAATCAGCTGGCTACAAATCTCGTTTTCCCATGATACCGGCAGTGTTTTGCTTCTTTAAAATGCCATATTGCCAGGCATCTCGAGATTTATCACTAGATTGATCAAAATCATCCAAACTATTCTCTGTTCCTGGCTTCAAGTGTCGATGACTACCATTCCTAGAACTTGAAGATGTATTTGACTTCTCGTCGTCTTCTGATGGTGTGCCTGACCTGGATTCCATGTGTGAATCATATGATCTATATCTTGGTCCAGATCTGAAGCCCCTTGTATTAGAAATCTTGGGAGGTAAGAGACCATAGGTAGAAGACTCCGGCACAAAGAAATCTTTAGGCAGAGAATCCATGTCCATGTAACACTTTCGCGCTTTGGCATCAGCAATCAATGCAGCCCAATCATCGGATTGTATCAATGCATTGGCATTTCCCATGACCTGTCAGTAATTACAAGATGAAACAATAATTAGGCATTTCTCTCGTAATTACATATGCTAATGAGCACATATATTCACATAAATTTACATCAGGAAATAATGCAGGGAGAAATATAGCATTACCCAAAGAGCTCTTCTTGCTCGAGTAAGAGCAACATTCATTCTCCGAATATCTGCGACAAACCCAACTCCATGACTAGATGCACGAACACAAGACATAATAATCACATCACGTTCTTGGCCTTGGAAAGCATCCACAGTATTAATATAGATGTCTTTTCCTTCCTCCGAATATAAGATCTCCTTGAACTCCCGTTGAAGACATTTTAGTTGCAGCTTGTATGGAGTGATTATACCCACAGATACTTTCCCAACTCCTGAAGATTTTATAGTTTTCTGAAGGTGCTCATATATACGAAGACAAAACTGTGCTTCTTGGGTATTTTGAAAAGAGACGGAGCCACCCCGATGAGATTCTCGACCGTGTGTGATATCATAGAAAATATATGGCCTCAGTAAGGGATCTTTGTAATATATCTCATCTGGAAGATTGGCAACACTTTCACTATCTGTAAGGCGTCCTTGATAGAAGTAACTAGAAGGAAAATCCCTAATTTGTGGATGCATCCTATATTGAACAGATAACAACATTGTTGGACAGCCTGCTTGCTGGAACCTCTCGAAAAGACTCCTACTGTAAAGCAACGTTCCAGCCGCCTTACTGATGACAGTAGCGGGAAGCTGCTGAGGATCCCCCACAAGAACACAACGTGCAGCACCAAGAGAAAGAGGGGGCAGTACAGCTACTTCACTAGCTTGAGCTGCTTCATCGATCACAACCATGTCAAAACCATGAGTTAGGCGAGAGAACAACTTGCGCCCACTGCTTGAGACAGTAGTGAAAACAATCTCAGCTTCATTGGCAAAACTTGCCTCCAGACTAGCACGGGCTTCCTCTAAGTTGAAGTTGCTACCACTACGAAACCTGCTTTCCAGAATGAACAGCCGAGACATTTCCACCAGTATCTTGTCTCTGTTCTCAACCACTGCAGCAAGGTTTTGAAGCAAAGTATCTCGATTTTGATCCCTTGCAATCAGAACATCTGGATCAACACCAACTGATCCTTGTGCACGACCACTGGCAGCAGCAACATTGAGTTCTCTTTGAAGGCAAGAAATTTGCTGTGACAGCTGGGTTTCACGAACTCTCAAACTGTGCATCCATCCATAAACTTCATCACGACTCTTCATTAAAAGCTGTTCAGTTCTGCGTTCTACAGAAACAGCTTGGGCAGCACGTGTCTGTGAATCCACCCCAACTCGAGCCACATCAGGTCGATAAACTTTCATCTCGCCATCAATAAAACCACGATCCAGAACACGTGAAAGCAGCTCATCAGTCGCAGCATTTGAGGGAGCACAGACAAGCATCCTAGGTTTTGGGCAAAGTTTCGGGAGAGTGCGAAAGAGATTCTGATCCATGCTTTGGAGAACTTCATCAATGGATCCAATGGCCACAGTATCAGAGTTGCTCTCATTCACCTGCTTATAGCTTTCAGGTGCCAGTTTCTTTAACAATGCAGTATAGTAATGTTGATATTGTACAAGATGGATCACATTTAGCATTCCCCACACTGTATGAGTCTTGCCAGTGCCCGGAGGCCCCTGAACTAAAGTAAAAGGCCATGGATCTTGCTTCTTTGTTGTGCCATTGGATGTACCAGCTGCTGTATGCATTGCAGCCCACTGTATTGCTCCTAGCTGGGGTCCATTGAAGGTCCTGCGTAGGTGTTCAACAAAGTTCGGAGTAAAGCATTCTGGCATCGCTGGTGGCTGCTCTTCATATTTAGGAAATTGTTCTGGACTAGGCTGAAGAATTGCATTTTGCATCTGCAAGAGAACAATAATTAAACTTTTAATAACAAAAATATTGGAACTGACTCATCATTTAGAACTAAAAATGAATTTCAAATAAAACCTGCAAACTAAGACGGCGAAATGCATGCAGAGCTACATATTCTCTCTGTGTGGTCGCAAGAGAACCAAGCACAGTCAGATACCAGATGCCCCCTGGTTGGAGTTTCCGCACAATATGATCCTCATCGATTTTGCTGGAACAATTAGGGTGCGTTTGATTACAAGTAGGAAAATTACATGGAAAGAAAATGAATTTCAAGGAATTGAATTACCTAGAAATTGTTTTCATGGAAATTGTAAATTATTGTGTTTGATTGTATAAATTTTTCACGTGGAAAATGTTGAAGTAAAAGTATTTTTTGATGTTCGTTTGACTTTGTTTTACGTGGAAATTGTCAATTTCAGGGATATCCTCTTTTACAATTATTCCTAAAATTTGTTCCCATTGCCAACAATTAAAAAAAAAATAAAAAAAGCCAAAAAAAAATAAAAAAAAAGGGTGGAAAACCAAAAACCACCTATCCCCTAGGAAAAAAAAAGGTGGAAAATCACGCTTTAAGGTGTTGTACCTAGAAATTCATGGAAAATCAATTCCCTGGAAAATTTTGTCAATCAAACAGGCCAAAAGTGGAAATTGGAATTCGAATTCCAAGTTCCATGGAAAATTTCGTGCAATCAAACGGGGCCTTAGCGTTTAACAAAACCATCATCAATATATAAGCCAAAAATTGCAGTCAGAAGATTTAATTGTGATCTTTTTATTCGTAATATTTTTAAGTGTCAAGCAATTACAAATATGTTACTTCCTTGTCTCAAGTAAGCGTACATATATAAAAACAGATCATTTCCACATTTTTATAATTATGCTTCATTTTCCAAGTTCTCAACTCTTTAGACTAACGTTATACCCTAATTTTTCTTCGTCAAAATAATGGTCCATTTGGTCTGTTCTCCCAACCAGGCCACTCTTCTTGCATGGTTTAATCTTCACATATCACCACCCAAACCCTAATTTGTCATCTAGTCTTCTTTATCCAAACGAAACTCTACTCTCTTTTGCAATCAGACACTGACAAGGACCCATCTGTTTTGCCCTAATTCAGGATATTTTTTCTTGCTTTTTTTTTTTTTTTTCCAATCACTGGTAGTTAGTTTCTCCATTTCTTCATTTCGATTTTAAAATGTAATCACTGTGTGGAAGAACCAAAAAGAAAGAAAAGGACACGCCAAGTGTGTGTCTGAGACACTCCATCTCAGATAGCTTGCAGGAGCTTTTTAGAATGAAGCAATCCCAAGCGAGAAATGAATAACAAAAAATGGGGACAGTCAAAGGACAAAAGGACTATATGTATGACTCACCTGTTGGAATCATATGAATCCCCAACATAAAAATGAAGGATTGCCCCAGGATGTTCGCGTGTATCAATAGGTATATGCCGCCTCACTGTGCCAGCAACACGACCATTAACTTCAGGACTATCCTCATCTTGAAGTGCTGACGAACTGTTCCTCTTAAAATTGACTGCATCACAATAATCAATGCAAGATTTGGAACATAAGGTTTGCCAATTGATGAATCTGAGACAGATATCAAAGAGGCAAAATATTTAACATTATATAGAGACCTGATCCAGGCTTGGGCGATGAAAGAACAGCAACATCACCTTCCTTGAAAGTCCATTTGTATTCATGTGGTGGGAGAAGTATCACATCAAACCACCCTGCGAAAACCAAAGGCAAAAAATGAAAATAAAAATAAGACAAAAATATCCCTTGGAGCCACAAGCTCCAGTAGATGAGTAATAGATATTCTGCCAGAATCATAAAATGTTCTAATATCAGAAGACAACATATTTATTTCTCGGGTGGCCAAGATAAAAGAAATATACTGGAGAGAGAAAAGGAAAGAAAAATGTCATAGCCCCTCACACTGTGATGCTCACTTTCTCCATAAAATGAGACTAAACTGGGGATTACACCATCTAAGAACCAAGGTTCTGACACCATTTAGCATAAACTTGTAATCACATTCAGGAGAGAGAAAAGGAAAGAAAAATGTCATAGCGCCTCACATTATGATGCTCACCGTCCCCATAAATGAGACTAAAATGGGGATTACACCATCTAAGAACCAAAGTTCTGACACCATTTGCATAAACTTGTAATCATATCCAGCAATGTCAAAAGAGCCAATAAGATGTTGCACGATAACAAACTCGTGGACAACCAAATTATATAATTACGTAATTCAGTATCATCATTTCAGGACACCTAAAGAGTAGATTTGTAATTAGCTTAGACCAGCAAAGAATAGACTGATGTCAAGTCAACTAGCAAATGCTTAGGTGTGGAGCCCATGATGCACAGCAACTGGATTTCGGATCTTCTTTTTTTTACCAAATACCGGAAGTGCCAATATTCAGTTTCCAGACATGGTGAGAGCGTGAAGTTAAGGCAAAAGCATAATACCTCTTTCCCGTCTTTCTAGACTTTTTATGCTGACCCTAACATGACCTGAAAATGTTTCAATTGACTCCTCCCAAGTACTGAAAAGTTGTGCCCGGCATTCCTCAAAGAGCAAAGGTTCAAATACTCTGACATACTCTTCCACTGATTCAAAGCGACCAGGAACACGTTGAAGCTCCTCGTCCTCTGTTGAACATAAATATTCTAAAATCACACAAGTATCCAAAATAAATGCTAGTTAAAAGTTCTTGCCCTTAATAATAAATAGATAAACCACTCAAGGCTAATAAATTCATAAAGACAACACCTAACAATACCATAAGGTCAAAAAATTTCAGAAAATAAAGCTAATTCAGACTTTTGGAAAAGCTACCAAAAAAATGAAAGGAAAAAAAACTGCACAAATCCATTGCTTAGATTTAAGAGAGAATGAAAATCAAATATACTCAGACAAGTAGACTATATATAAATGAGCAGCTCATTTGAGAAGATAAAAAGCCTTTCACTTCAAAAGCTTCTCAGACGATTGAATACCCACCCAATAGAGCTTTAGGATCCCCTCCATTATGTGTGGGCCTGAGTATCACAAAGGTCACCACTCGCTCAATAGTAGTATTGTCCAAAAAGAAAAAGGAAAAAACCAATTCGCATATCAATGCAATCGAATGGAGAACAATTTTTAGAAAACAATGCAGAGGATGGAAACCAAATAAAGCAGTCTGTGACATCACAACAACGCTGAAGAAATCAGATAATACAGGCAGAAGCTAGGCATAAGTCAAAATCACCGGGCTAAGTGGTTCAGTTTTCTACTTAATACAGACTAAGTAATTCACTACAGTAAAGTAACTTCGACTGCAGTATAACTTTTGCTATCACAATTCCAAACATATAGAAGTGATTTGACATTAGTATACTGAAAAATATTCTTTGTATGTATAGAAGTGGCATAACAGATATTTTAGGTGCACTGATGTCACAAAGAGAAGGTAATCTATGGCAATTTTGGCCAAACAGATTGTCATGCCAATAACCTCCCAACTGATTCCTAAATGGGGATGCCATACACTCACAAATTATAAGTTCATTGTTACAACATTGGAAAAGAAGTTTAGATTATCTTTTCGCCATCTCAGACATCATGAAAAACCAAATTGAATTATCAAATTGCACAAGCAGAAGAATGTCTAGTTACAGCAAAGGGGAAAAAAAATAGTTAAAGAAAAGGATGAATACACGGGCCTCCTTCTCGGGGAGCCAAGCAATCGGTGGAATTCTAACATTGTGTCAAGACCCACAGGCCAGGGGCGACACGTAAAAAATGGTTCAATATAAGAAATTTCAGAACACTAGAGTACCTGGATGGTGCCAAAACTTCTCATTTGTCACCTCGCGTAAAAGGCGTTCCACTGATGTATCGTGATACTGAGAACTTACTGCAGATTGTTTCTTTGAAGGCAATTTCTTCAATGCCAATTTAGAATCAGTAGCACTCAGGCCGCTTACAGATAGCTTCCTACCAGGGACCTGAGAATTCTTAAGTTGCCTCATATCAGTGGGAAGCTTCCACGAACTCTGTCTAGAAATGGGTGCCGTTTGCCCTTCTGCAATGGGATCTGTCAAATTATTCAACCTCCTTGAACGTCCAAGAGGTCCTAAAATATTATCATCATTACTTTCAGATTTAGAATCATTAGCCTCCAGAGAATTGTTCCCTTCATTGTTTGATAAATCAGCCTGTTTTAAGTCCTTGGTTGTAGGCTGAAATTGTTTATCCCCGCGATCAGCAGACAGTGGTACATGTTGACCGTCTTTCACAGTCCGAGTGATGACAGGTGCTGGAATTTGCCTTCTAGGAGTTGATGCCTTCAAAGGACCAGCTTGCTTAACATCTTCTAAATTGAGAAACATGGTCTGCCTACTGCGCTTCTTCCCTAGCATCGCTTCCTTATGCTGATCAAACTTAGGACGCTTTCCAAGATTATTTGCACACTTCAATGCAAGATTTGCTTCGACTCCTCTGATTTCTCTTTGTTTTGGCACCTGAGGAGTATCTTCCTTGCCATTTGTAAATACATCACCTTTCCTACCATTTGTTTCTGGATCCAGTCCTGAAGAAGGGCTAATACTTTCATTCTTTACGTCACCAGAATTTAGCGAGCCATTCTCTGAACTGACAACCAGGTCATTATTTGCCACATTCTCAACCAAAATTTTCTCCTGTAAATCTTTACTATTACCAGAAATTGATTCTTCATCCACAATACCACTCCTATAAGCATCAGCAGAACCCTCTGCATCCGACCATTCCCCTTCCTCCTTCTCAACAGTTTGAGCACCTACAGAAGCTGACTCCAGCTTTGGAGAAACATTTATATCTTTGCCATGACTTGGTTCAGATGTTAAGGCAAGATTCGGAGGCATGTCCCCGGTACTCCTTGTTTCAGTAGAAAGATTGGATCCCTGAGCATTTTTACGCCGAACAAAAGGCTGGAAACCCGAAACAGAGGAAGCATGGGAAAACGCATAGTTATTGACTATCCCTTGAGGACCATCTGATGCCACAAACAAGTCAGGTGTAGCAGTACTTGAAGAAGGAACAGCTCTCTGAGGCTGGAAGCATAAGACATCACCACTGTCGTCTTCATCCTCAGTAGCAGGTTCATTAAGATCAAATAGCAGCCTTCTGGAGCTCATTTCGCATACAGTTGCATACAAACAGATAAAATATGCAAAAAAATGTCTACTGACTTCTATTCAGATATTTCCTAGCAGAAGATGCACCTTACATGCCAAGCAGAAAGGCAAATGGCAAATATATCAGATATCAAGCTTGTCCAGATAAATGCTACAGAGAGACACATTCTGCATACAAATAAAGAAAAGCAGATAGGTAAGAACCAAATGCTTAGAGTCATACATAAAACAAATATGTATTGTCACCTCAAATATTTCAAAGTAAAACTAAGTTAGGTAATTCTGATACAAATCACCATGGTATATATATATATATAAAGCAAACAATGCATAGTAATCAGTATATAGTATATACAGTCAAAAACTTCACACGCTCTGTCAATTTCTTCCATGGGCAGTGGGCAGGTGCCATGTGGTAGAAACCTATGATTGACATCATCTTCATCCCATGAAGATATCAGTTTTCAAATATTCGACTCCTTAAATATAAATTGAAAAAAGATTACCAGATAGAAAATACATCATCACCTCAAAGCATCATAACGCCACTATCAAAAAATCTCTCCTGATAGAATATGAATCTAAAATCAACAGTTGCAATTATCACATGCCAACCTACGAGATAGGAATCAAAGACTCAGAAATGGCAGACCAGCAATATTACATTAGATGCGTGGATAAGGATATGTTAATACCCGTTCAAGAACAAACATCTAGAGATCCAAGAAATCCCTAATTGTTAACCAGATTTCGCATCTTTGGTAGACCAAATATATTTCTTTTGCGTTTTCAAGAAATAAAAACTGGCACTCAATAATTAAAAAAGATAAGAAAAGTAGACAGCTGCAAAATCCTAAATTGTATTAGAATTTACTCATTCAATATCATAAACTCTCAACAACCAAAAACAGTTGAAGAACAGTGGTGGTTGGCGGCTAAACCTAGACTCCCATTACTCTCAGAAGCCAAATTCTACAGACCAAAAGCAGACCTTATTAAAAATCAGAAAATAAGACACAAATAAAAACTACAATTTAAAAGTATAATAACAATCAATAAGTGAATAAGTCTGCTCGAAATCCTTCGCTTTAATACCAAATTTATCACTCCTTATTAACAAATACCCAAATTACACAAGAAAATAGCAAACCGTTCGATTAAAATATCAAGATTTCCAAATACAAATTTAAAAAGAAAAAGAAAAACAGTTATTCAACTTGAATGGTATTAATTACCAATTTATTATTAATTCACGAAATATCCACAAAATCTGATGTGTAATCGGGGTCAAATCGAAAGTAGCTCTAGTACAAAATCAATCAATCGCAAGTCAAACGCGTTTTATTTCGATCTAATTTTTACCACCACAATTATCAAGTTATATTTTCATTCAAACTAAATGAATATTTTCAGCAAAGAAATAAAAGATAAAAATTAATAATGAAGAGTAAAAAGAAAAAGTTACCTCGAAAGGACACCAAATCTAGAGAGAGAAATAATAATTAAAAAATCCTATTTGATGAATTAAATATTTTTTAATTACGTCAAATATATGCGAGTATTTTGTATGCATGGCTGTGAGAAGAGAAAGACGCCGTGTAGAGAGAGAGTAGTTGAGCATGCGAGAGGATGGGATGCAAGCAAAAATGAAATGGGAATGGTGGGTATTTATAGGGAAAAATGAGGGCTAGTCGCTGGGTAACGGAAGGACCGGTCACCGCTAATTTAAATGCCGATCCAGTATAAATCGGAGGGTTTTTTAAGTAAATGACCATTTTTAATCATTTTTACAAAATATTAATTACTATTATTAATATGCCCTTGGTTTCCGAATTATTTATAAAGTGGGCATGTGGATAGAGACAGAGTTAGGTGTTAGTGTGAAGGGCATATTAGGAATTAAATTTAGTTCGGATAATGCTAATAAGCTGGTGATTGGTTTGACCGTGTTGGATTCCATGAATGTGTAAATCACTGTAATTAAAAAGTGACCACTCACCATGGATTAAAATCACACTAGGTATTTCACGATTTTGATGATGGTTTTTGAGTCTTTAATTATGCATTATTTTGTGGAAAAAATTAAGTAAAACAAATTTCTACTAATTTATATATTTTTTTTCTTTTATAATATTTTAAAAGTTAAATTAAAGTATAAGAATCGAACACATATATATATTTCATTGTTCATAAGTGCTTTTCACTGAACATATAATTATTTGCAATTGGGTTCTGATAGAAAACCTGGGGATCATTTAAATGAACTAGCCTTGATTTAGAAATTATTCCTTCGTGACTAATTTGATGTTTGAAAGAAGTTGCTATTAGGGATGTCAACGAGTCGACTCGACTTGCAACCGAAATTTGAGGCTCAAGCTCAGCTCGATTAAAATTGTCGAGCTTTTTTCCGGGCCCGAGACGGGCCAAACAAAAGCTCGCCCAAAAATTTTAGGCTCAACCCGAACTTTCGGCTCCGGCCTTTCCAAGCTAAGCCGGGCCAACTCGTTTCTCTCTCTCACTTTACACTTTACCTTCTTTTTTTTTTTTTTTCTTCAGATGGTTGCCTTAAAAGGCAAGGCAGCATTTTATTGCCATTAGGCAATTTTTTTTTTTAAATAAAGGCTCACGGGTCGACTCGGGTAAAGCCCGTGTCCCAAAAAACGGGGCTCAGCCCAAGCCTTGGCTCAGGTCTCTCAAGCCCCGAGCCGACGAGCCCAATTGACATCTCTAGGTGTTACACATTATTGGTTTTGAGCCTACGAACCCTCATCGTGGCTTGTAATGTCTGCATGTGGACAACTAGGTAGGACATTCCATCTTATGGGTCGATTAGCAGCATTTTAAACTTGAACTTGTTTAGTAACTTGTTTTTTAGACCTGCTGGATGAACAATGTCAAATTTGAAGTCTTGCTACGAGTAATGGCAATTGTTGCATCCTGGCATGTTTGTTACCGTGAGGGGTTGAAGCCAAGAAGGCATGTAACATTTGAGCTCGGGTACTTACCTCGCATTACTAGATATTGAATTGGTTTCCTATATATAACATAAGAATGTAGGTCTTGAGAAAATTCTTTCTACATACGTGTTTCAGTTGTTCTTTAAGCTATTGGATCTCATGGTTTTAGCATGGCTCATGTTCATTTTTCTCAACAATGTTTGTAATGGTGACAAAAATTATAGCATTGATTTTCAAGTGATACCCACACCTATTCATGCACTGAGAGTATCCACTCGTAGTATTGTAGGTAACATGTATTAAAGGTCAAGGTTTTAAAAGGTATAAAGTGTGACAAGATGTGAATGTCAATGATCAAGTTGACAAGCCTAGATGCGATAAAGCATTTTTCTATTTTTAGTATTATTTTTTATTATTCTAAATCAATAAACAAATAAATAATGTATTACTTGAAAATTTATAAGAATTTCATACATATTTTTCAAGTTTTCAACAAGAACATAATTCTTAAAAAAATTTCAATATTTCAAATCAATTATGTTTCGCTTGTAAAGCTCTGTTAGTAGATTCCAATTAGACATTGTGAGAGACTAGAGATTTTTAGATATCAACGTCGAATATCTAGAGATCACATGGACAGTGAAGAATTATGTATTGAGTAACCAAAGTGGTTCATCCTAGAATGGTGCCATCTCGCATCTATAGCACTTAGCACCAGAGAAGTGAAATTAAGCTCACATTTAATTGTCCAAGACATTCCAACTTTTGAAAAATTAAAGGTGAACATTTGCTATCACCTAAACTTATGATTGTCCTAGTTATCTTTGAATCAGAGATTTAGATCGCTCAAAAATGGAACTTTGTCAAGGTGAATCGCCAATTATCAAAACATTTTGCTCTACACATCGGCACTTCGATATCAGGGTTGAGTTTGGTTATTTATCACCGTTCAAATATGAATTTTTACTTAACTACTTGTGTGTTACATATTTAAGGATATTTGAGGAATTCGAGGATGTATCATTGATAATAGGAAGGCAATTTGAGCTGGCGCAAAAGTAAGGTTTGTATGCCACCCTAAAAAATTGTTCTTGTGTATCTCCTCACTTTTGCAATTTACCCATGCATTAAAACCCCCAGAGCAAACACGGAAAAAAAAATTAAAAAGAAAAATAAAAACACCCACTGAAAAAATAAACCATAAAGACTAAAAACACGACCAAACACCAACAAACCACAAACCTATCAACATTTGCACACGATAGGTGCATGTACACATTGAATATATACAAGTATCATTATACACACACACGATAAATGATATTGAATGAGAAGATCGATAATTTTCTTATATTTGTGATTTTTATTGTTCATCTAACTCGTCAAATTTGTGCTATTTTGTGCGCGTACACTACTCTCTCCGTCTCATAAAGATAGTCATATTTTCATTTTTCGTCTGTCCCAAATTATAATCATGATTTTTATTTGAGAGTGTAGTTAATATATTAGTTTCTTATTTAATGTGATTTGTTATTTCAAATGTAATTTAATTAGTTTGTATATTGATTGCATTAATGTAGAGATATATAAGGAAAAATGATAGTAAAATTTATTATTTCAACTATATTAATTAAAATTTTCTAATATATGGGAAAAAATAGAATTATTATGGGACGGAGGGGTGTGAATATATTATTTATTTGAGTATAAAAAGAAGTAAAAGTTACTTTTAAATTAACTTCTTATTGAATGTGAAATTCTAATTATCTTATAATTAGAATTAATAACAATGAAATGCATAAATAAAGATGAATATTATTTAAACGAATGAACGAGAATGTTAATCAATTGAAAATTAAAAACAAAGAATTCATATATTAATGAAAGCACAAGATTAAATGAATCTGTCAAATGTACATCAGTACATGTACATCGATGGTAACTAAACAGTAAAATAAATTAAATATATATTGAAGAATGAAACATAAGGTATTATTAAAGTAATTGAATTATAACATGGCTAATATCGTCCAAAAAATGATTATTACTTAATGTAATATTTAATATATTATATTATATAAAGAAAAGGCGTATATATAAATTTTCTAAGCTAAACCAAACATGATTTCAAGTTTAATGATCTGATGATAAATGTGTAGGATGTTGGTTGGTTGTTGCATAGTTGGGCTAGCTTAATGAAGCCCTCAATGCATAAGAATTAGTTGGGCTACAGAGTTCGCAATACTCAATAATGGTTTTATGGTCCGACTTTTCAAAACCAAGGTTCCTTTTTTCAAATAGAATTTCCGGTTAAAAATGCAATAAAGGTCAGTCTTTTCGTGTCTAATGATTGGTCAAATTCAATTTCAAGGTCCATAATCATGTCACAACGAAATTTGATACCATATTCTATAACCGAACAATATATTGAAAAAAAATATTAGGATGTATATAACTTTAAACACCAATTTACCTCATGTCTTGCTTACCAACCCCCCAAAATATGGAATTGTTACATGCTATTAAACGTGGATGAATATTTATTTAGGGGGTGTTTAGGAATGATTTTTCACCCCCCAAAAATTGATTTTTTGACCGTTATTTCACCGTTTCAACCGTAAAGTCTGACTTCTTCTCTCACAGGTTGCCCCCACTGTTCCTAACGGTCAAAAAAATTAATTTCCAAAATCGCTCTCAAACAAGACCTTAATTGTAGTTGTTACTTGGTCAAATTCGATTTTGTGGAGATATGATTACCATAACATATGTTAAACCTCTAAATCTGCTACATGTTATAGATGTCTTCTTCTCAATTTCTTCTTCAACGTGCTTGCAGAAAGAAGATATAAGAGAGTCGACCGGACGATGTGGTTAGATTTTCATTATTTCGGCTTGTACGCTAACATTTTTGGCTCGTAAAAGGCGTAGGCAGAAACTTTGAATTGCAAAGAAAAGCAAATGGAGTACAAGCTTGAATTTGAGTAAACATAACTTCCATTGGTTTTGACATCATAGTACTAAATTAATTGGATATTCCTCATCTCCCACAAGAAGGTAATGTGTACCTTCTTGAATAACCATCAGACCGTTTTCATCAGCAGTACTAAAATGCTTACATGGATTAAGAACAAACTCAATTTCTGCATTCTTTCCTGCACTCAAACTCACACTCTTGAATCCGATCAACTTCTTCCTCAGATTTCCATTTCTGAGCCCGTCCCACTTTATGAACAATAACACGGGGTGTTTCCCGTCTATTTCCCCATGATTATCAACTCTCACAGAAACTGAAAGCTTCATGTTGTGACATAACTTTGTTTCTAATTCAGAATCTGATAGAAAACGAACTTGACCCGAGTTTTGAACTGCATGTTTAGGCGATAACCTATCTAGGAAGAACTTGTTTCGACTAACAGAGACATAGTGATAAGAATACTTGGTATAGCTGAGGCCAAAGCCGAATTCAAAAACTTTTGGGCCATTGTAGAACCTATAGGTACGGCCGGGATAGCCCGTGGATGGATCAGGACGCATCCTCATGTCTGTCATCGGTACTTTGATGAAATCCTTCGGGTACCAAGTTACTGGTAATCGCCCCCCTGCATTTAGCATGCATGGCTATACTTCAAATCAAATGTTCTTTCGATTCCATAACAAGAATCCAGAATACAAAGATAGGTGAAAATCAAAAGTTACATACAAATCCTAATGCAGAGAATGTCTCAAATTTATCACAAGTTAATCATCTTCCAAATGCCATTACAAGCATCAAAGGGACTAGCTTTGCTGGGTGGATGTCCAGATATACTTGCTTTTAAGCTTCTTTTAAGTTATTAGAAGATACTTTTTACTGACAAACTTACTTTCATTGAAAGCTAGTTTAACCTTACAAACTAGCTCTGTTTTCAACTTTTACTTGGCGATAGAAGCTCGTAGCTTAAAAATTAATCTTGCCATCATGTCAAGGAGAAATTATTTTAAGATGCTGCAATTGAAGTGTACCTGGATTATGGTCACCGAAAATGATTTCAGCCAGTGCAGTTCCTCCAGCTTCCCCGGGATAACCAGCCCACAAAATGCTTCCAATTTTTGGATTGCCTTTGGCAAAAGAAATATCTACTGGCCCTCCACACAGCAACACCAATATGACTGGACCTTTTGCTGCCTGTGCAACGCTTGTGATGAGAATCTCTTGATTTCCAGGAAGCTCCAAATCCGTTCGATCATGCTTCTCCCTCTCTTGAGTCTGATCTAATCCCATAACTAACACAACATAATCTGCTTCTTTTGCTAAATGTACTGCTTTGTCAATTGCAGCATTAGTACAGTTCACGAAACTGCAGCCCTCATGATATGTTGTGTGGTTGACATATTTCTGTAGTGCTTGAAGCACCGTGATGTTTTTACAAGGAAAGCCTTCATAGTTGCCGAGAAATGTTTGTGAAGTATTGGCATTGGGGCCTATTACTGTGAGGGACATGGCATTAATCTTGGAAAATGGTAGGAGATTGGCCGAGTTCTTCAGGAGGACAATGCCCTTTTTTGCAGCTTCCAGCGCTAGATCCTGATGCTTTTGGCTGCAGACATGGTCTGGACCTATGTTTCCAAATTCCAGTTTCTTTGGATCTCCGTTGAAAAGTCCTAATCTCATTCTCATCAAAAAGAGGTTGTTAAGTGCTCTGTCTATGTCTGATTCTAGCACTTTCTTCTTTTCAACAGCTGATTTTGTGTATTTCATCAAGTAGGAACCACAGTTCACATCCATACCTGTAAAGTTCATTTGTACAGAAAAATTCCATCTTACTCAATTAACAAATACTATAAAAGGATTATAGTATTTAACACAATTTCATTGAATGTCTAGAGGAATAAGATAAGGACAGTATGGGACCAAATAAACCCATGCGCAAAGAATGCTTGACTTTCCATACAAGTATGATATGGACCAAGTTCAGCAGGATTTTCATCTACCCTTATTCAAGTGCGTAGGTGGGTCTATCGGTCCTATATCACATATGCCATCAAGAAATATATGGTACACAGTATTAGACATGATTAGACAATACGATTAAAAAAGACTTTAGCTTCTTTTATTTCTTCAATATTTTCACTAATATATAACCACCTCATAGAACAAGCCTTTGCAATGCGAAATGATAACCTACATTCCATTTTCTATACTCGATCGAGCACTTGGGTCATCGTTCAGATTTCTTGGCATTTGGGTAGGTAACTTTCAAATTTTGTAGATTAGAATCCCCACTGATGGATTCCGTCCAAGCAATTCATTAATGGGTCACGCCCAAGAAAATGATTTCTCATTTCAATGAGAGAGGGCTACTTACCAGCTTTGAGAACATCTGCAACTGCATCCTCTGGCAATTTAGCATACCCTTGATTGTCATGAATAATGGCAACCGCATCACAGTCTGATGCAATGTACCTTAATAATAAAGATAAACGAAGAATAAGTTAATAAAAGTATAGAATATATCCGTATCCCTTTTCTGATCATATAAAATTCATCCACAATTACCCGTTAAAACCCCATTGTCCACGGGCCGTTGTTGTCAAGAGATCATAATCAGCGCAGTTTGGAACTCCATTGACTCGATTATAAGCACACATTATACCACTGGCTTGTCCTTTTTGCACACAGCTCTTGAATGGCGGTTGATATGTATCTGCCAAATCTTGTTTGGTGACCTGAGCATTCCCACCAATAAGGAAAATTAGAAAATGGTTTTTTTGCATATTGCTATCACAAAATCTACATAGACAAAAACACTGTCCAAATCTCATTCTGAAGTTTGTTATACTCACATTTGCGTCAAACATATAACGATCAAATCCATTCCAGTTGTCGAGATCATGAGCAGTGAAGTGCTTACAACAAGCTGAGGCTTTCAGGTGACCGTCCTTAAGTTGTGTACCTTCAAAACTGTCCCCTTGAATTCCCCTAACATATGATACTGCATATTCCCCTGCTACCAATGGATCTTCGCCGGGCGTCTCTTGCCCTCGGCCCCACCTTGGGTCCCGGAATATGTTTATATTCGGTGCCCAAAATGTCATTCCCATGGCTTCTCCAGCATTGTAAACCCCTCTAGCCTCTTCTCCAATTGCCTACACAACGTCAAAGAAAACAAATGAAAAAAGAAGAACCCAAAAAAGAACTTTCAATTAATTTATTCTACAGTTCCTTAAAAGAATCAATTCAACAATTTCTATAATCCCTCCACCATAAATCATATATTATATTCAAACAATTGACTAACCTGACCAATTCGATACCATAGGGAGGCATCAAATGAAGCAGCAGTCAGAATGACTTGAGGGAACATGGTGGCGGAGGCGATGGATCCATTGAATCTAATGCCTTTTCCATGCCTGGAAAAGCCGTGCAAAGCTTCGGACCACCACTGGTAGGCGGAGATATTGAGCCGAGGTATGGCGGGTGCAGTGTTAACGAGCTGTGAGATTTTTTCATCAAGTGTTAGGCGTGAAATAAGGTCCTGAACTCTCTTGTTGATGGGGAGTTTCGCGTCACAGAATCGAAATGATTTGGTTAATGGGTTTGATGAATCACAGGAGTATGGCGGACCGTTTGATTCGGCATAAACCAAGAATTCTATCAACAATAATATTATGATTCTGTGGCTATGGACTTCCCCCATTTTCTGCCAGTGCCCTTCAAAGAAAGAAACAGAGAATAAGATAGTGATGAAGCCATTAGCATTATAAGAATGGTCCAAAAAGGTGAATGAATGCGGCTATCACGTGGCTTACTGTAAGACGCTGGAACTCTGAAAAAAAAAAGTGAACTTTCTTTTTGTCTCTGGCATTGAAGAAATTGTATGGAAAAATCACAATATAATTTAGCAGAGAAAGAGATTCATTTCGATGAAAATCACAAAAGAAATCACACCATAGACCAATCAAAAGGAGATCCATGAAGCAATTTATCTTTATCAAGATAACATTTTTATCCTCAATTTCTCCCAAATTCACATTTACTTTTGTTATTTTGATTTGTAAATACACTGAGATTCATATATCCTTCAGCCAAATTGTGTTCTATAACATTTGATCTCTGACTTTCTTTCCATTGAATTACAAGTTTGTGTTGTATACTTTTCATTAAGGAGACTAATAAGCCTCCGAGAAGAATGAAGAAAAGGGGAGCAGTAACTAATTCTGTTAAGAGGGGCGGGTTGGGGTGGCCAAAATCTGTTACATGGGCCTATAAATAGAATAAGAGTGAGAGATGATGGGGGTGTCAAATTTATTGAGTAAGATCATTGGGAAGAGAGTCACAGCCCTCTCGAACTGCCTTTTTTTTTTTTTTTTTACCCTTCGTGTTTTGTAATTCCATTTTCCAAAATCAATATAGAATTTCCTTTCTGTTTCCGGTGTTTTTTTGAAATCTTGAGAAATCACAATCATATTCAGGGGCTGAATCTATGGATGGCAATTCGAACTGTCAAAACCAAAAACCGTGGTTAACCGAACCGAATGGGCGAAAAAAATCGAACCGATGGTACAATGGGGCGGGTATGGTATTTACACCCTTGCCCCGAAACCAGACCGATTACCCGTAAAAAATAATAATAATAATAATAATTATTATTATTGGACTTTCCACTATTTTTATCCAGCCCAAAATAAAATTCTGCCCAATACATTCACTATACCAGTCGTCCAGCCCAACTCCCCACAACCCAGTTACCATAACCCATAGTATTAGACTATTATAGTAATAGAAATTATATAAATATAGAATAATAGAAATTATAGAATCGGGTTCGGGACCTTCGGGTATATGAGAGTGTAATTGTGTAAACCCTACTCCTTACCCTTACTTCACAAATCAGTGAAATCAGACATAGACCACACTCACGCAGCCGGCAACCACAGCTCCACGCTTGACGCCTCATCGCCTCCAGAGTCCAGACAGTTAACTTCACGACATCACCGGTTCACCCTACAACAAAAACGCACACAGCCACGAGCTTCACTACTCCTGCCTCCGACAGTCCTACCACTATTTGAGGTAAATGAAATACCGAATCATCTTCTTCTGCTTTCGCTTTATTTGAGTTTTTCTATATTTGAAGGAACTGAAGTGCACGCCCATGTTGAAGTATGGATTTAATTCACTGCATTAGTATTATGGGACATTAGGGAAAATGGGTTTTGCAAAGAAAGTGTTTGATGAAATGATTGAAAGAAGTTAGGCTTTGTTTTCTAAGTAGTTAATATAAATTGAGGACATGAAAGAATTATTGATAATGTTGACTGGGATGCAATTCGGTTAGATAAACCCCATCCCTGCACTCGACATCAACATTGGCCAGAATTCCCATCCAAGGCCATACAAACAAATCATTTACAGCACTGTCTCTGGGCAGCTCAATAGCTAGTCCAGCAAATTCTAACGTTATATCTTCCCCACCAATATCCTTTTTCAAGTACCTCACAAGTCCTAAATGCTTCCCCTTGTCTTTGATGTCTCTGTTCATTGAGCGACTGCCAACATCAGAGGCATGTTGACAAAGGTCCTTAAAAGGATAGACCAGCTTCTTCATTCCTGGGCAGTAAGGGCACCTGAATAATTCGTCTGAATACTGAACCTTTTTAGGGGCATTCTTCAATTGTTCGTAGCATCTATCCACATAATCGTCGAGGCACGACCCATTTGACAACCTAAATTGTGGATTTTGGTCTCATGGTTTTTGGTGTCTCCATTAAGGTTTTGCTAAGAAGTTTATTTATGTTTGAAAAAAAAAATAGTATTTATCGCTCAAACTCAACACAATGACAATGGTAGCAAATGCAATGAAGAGTTTTATAATGCCATTGTCCTTTTTAGTACAAGTCTCAAGAAATTGGTATATCGATTCAACTAGGGTCGCTACTCGAAGTAAAACTGATTTATTAAAAACCACAACTCATTTTCAGAAATTGAAAATAAAACTTATTGACATCGACATTCAAGTTGCTGGGTTTGGAATGGCTGGGAAGGTGGTAGTGGAATACTGGAATTGGGTTCAAGAGGTGGCATCTTCATTTTGGAGGATTTTGGAAAGTCACGTTTGGGTGTGACTTATTCACTTTTGGGATTTTGTTGTATTTCAATTATGTTAGTCTATAAATACGTATTAGAACTTTTAATTTTTGTCATTATCTTGTGTTAGTCATTATCTACTGTTTATTTTTTTTATTCTTATTCTATTTACTGCTTTAAATATGAGTTGAAAGTCTAGAGGACAAAAAGTTGTTTTTGAACTAAAATAAAATAGCCTCCTCACATATAGTTTTAATATAATTATTGAGCCTTCTGATTTATATTGATATATAAGTTATTTCTCTATCGTTTAGCATTCCACTTTTGTAAATTTTTCACCTAATGAAATTAATGAATGCCTAAGTTTTTGAGTTTGTTGATTTTTATTTTTTTTTGAAATTAGATGTCTTGCCAGGGGTCAGAATCTTCCGTTCCTACCCCCTCCCTCCCCCCCCCCCCCCCGGCTTCAATTGGAAGTGCTTCTGCTTCAATTCAAGTTGGAGATACATCAACAAGTACACCAGTTACTTCACAAAGTCCAAGTGAGGTAAATGCAAATCCTATTCATATAGATTTAGGTGATGATGAGGAGATGACTGAGGAAAATAGAAAAAGAAAATTGACCTCTTCAGTGTGGGAGCATTTTAAGCTACAGAGAATTAATAATGTGTCCAAAGCAATTTGCAGACAATGCAACAAACAGTTAGGGGGTGAGTCGAAAAATGGGACAAGTCATTTACATGCTCATTTAAATAGATGTCCTCTTCGAGGTCAGAAGGATGTCAAACAGATGTTTTTGAATCAATTTAAAGAACCTAGTGGTAGGATTGCAATGGGAGCATTTAATTTTGATCAAGAGAAAGGTAGGACGGAACTTGCAAATATGATCATCCTACACGAATATCCTCTTTCAATGGTTGAGCATACTGGATTTAGAAAGTTTTGGAATACAATTCAACCATTATTTAAAGTTGTTTCTCGTACAAGGCTGATATCTTAAAAATTTATGATTATGAGAGAACAAAAGTAATGGGCTTGTTAGAGAGGACCAATAGTAGAATAGCAGTAACCACTGATATGTGGACATCCGATCAAAAGAAGGGATTTATGGCTATCAGTGCACATTACATAGATGATTCTTGGAGGCTTCAGAGCCGAATTTTGAGGTACAATAGTTTTATAAAATAGACTTTAAGCTACTATCGTATTTTCTGAAATTTTAAGTTATCTTACAAACTTTTTTTTCATATCCATACAGATTTATATATGCCCCTTGTCCCCACACTGCTGAGTCACTATCTACTGTGTTAATGGATTGTCTATTTGATTGGAATATTGATCAGAAATTGTCTACATTGACTGTTGATAATTGCACCACGAATGACGCTATGATTAACATTATGTTAGATAAGCTTTCTCTTGGTTCTTTATTGTTGAATGGTGAATTTTTCCACTTGCGATGTTGTGCACACATATTGAACCTGATAGTAAAGGATGGTTTGGATGTCATTAGCCCGAGTGTTGAGAGAATTCGCGATAGTGTTTCATATTGGTCAGCAACACCAAAAAGAGTTGAAACTTTTGAGGCAGTTGCACGACAAATGAAAATCCCTTCTGGAAAAAAGTTATTATTAGATTGCAAGACTCGATGGAACTCTACGTATCTAATGATTCATACTGCTTTGCTTTACAAAGAACTTTTTCCTCGACTAAGGCAAAGAGAGCCTCATTACAGAAGTGTACCGAGTGAGAGTGATTGGGAATTGGCTACAGAGATTTGTGATAAGTTGGAGATATTTTATGAAGCGACTGAATTATTTTCAGGAACAAAATATCCAACTGCCAATTTGTACTTTCACAATATTTGGGACATAAAGTTGGCAATCCGTGATTGGAGCACATCATCTTGCGATGAAGTCAAATGGATGGCGTCAAGCATGAAGGAAAAGTTTGATAAATATTGGAGTGGCATGCATGAAATTCTAGCTGTTGCAACTAAATTGGATCCTAGATACAAGATGAAACTAGTTGAATACTATTTTCCTTTGATTTTTGGAGATGAAGCTCAGGAAGAGGTTGAAAAGGTTAGAGCATTTGGTCATAAGTTGCTCAAAGAGTACAAGAGACCACATCGTTCGACAGAAAATACATATTTGTTTCCATCATCTTCACAATCAGAGTCGTCTACTACTAGTGGAAAACATTCTCGCATGGCTGGTTTTGATACATTTGTTAGCCTTTCTGTTACTGCTGATCATGTAAAAACAGAGTTCGATGTTTTTCTAGATGAGCCAGTATTGCCTAGGGTGGACGGTTTTGATCTATTGACATGGTGGAAAGCAAATTCAATAAAATATCCGACTTTACAGAAGGTTGCAAGAGATTTATTAGCCATTCCAGTATCTACTGTTGCATCCGAGTCAGCATTTAGTACAAGTGGTAGATTTGTGAGCCCACATAGAAATAGGCTTCACCCGAAGACTTTTGAAGCTTTAATGTGTGCTCGAGATTGGCTTTGGTCTGATATTCATGGTAGGATGTATTGTTTTATGTTTGTTATTTATGCACTTTCTTTTATTGCTAATTTTTTCCTCTTTTGTGTGTAGAAAATTTTGGTCCTTCATCATATTCCGGAGCTTGTGCAAAGTTTGATGACGAGGATGTTGACGAAGAGGTACATTTTTTTGTTTAAATATTTAGTTAAAAACATTATGGATTATTGATTTATTACTCTACTTACAT